GGGGGGGGGAGTACTGATTTCACGGTTATGTCATATCGTATGTAAGGTTCGTAACCCGTCCAAGTGGTTTGTGAACCTTTTCTTCAATTTTCTTGCTGCATCTTTCTGCAATACATGTATTCACAAATTTCACTAACGCGTATTTGCACTGTTTAGAGCATACTGAGGAATGAAGGAAGACTCGAAGATCCCGGAAATTTTTATATTTTCCTTAAAACTAAGTGGAGTTTTTTTTTAAAGTGCTCTGCATAGCCATATTGCATGTTCCCACACACAGGAAAATAACATTAGGCCAACAGCAGATAATACATGAAGGAGACTATAATAGTGATAGACAATTGCAAAAAAAATCCCACTTGAATACATAAACCATCAATATTTGATCGCACGTTCACTGCCCATAATGGACAGCCATGCGGGAAAGCTCTTACTGAAGCGTACATGAACGTCGAGCACGAGCACTACACTGGTATTTTTCTCGATTATCGCATTTTACAGATGACAAATACGGGTATTGATGTTAAATTAACCAATAGAAGGTAGTAGTTCGAAACTGTGATACAAATCTGCTGTGGTTAAAAAATAATAATATTTCATGAATTGACTATGGCTCGTTCAAGTCGTAAGAAACGATGACAAGCATAAATGGTGTCGAAATAACTACACAACCTTGATTTTTCGCTGGTTTTTATATTCAGTCTAGTAACGAAAACCGACCGAATACACCGAATACTTATAATTCTAAGCCCAAACAACGATGAAAAGAAAATGTTCTGGTTCTGAATCCTTTGCTAGTGATGCTATAAACATATCACGGTTATTAGTAATATCATGGTTCAACATTATAGGTTATGCTGGATTGTCCAATCAAATTCAATGAAATACTTAGTAAAAGTAATGTTTATGGATTAGTGCATGTAGGTTTAATAGTTTATTATAATAATGCGAGCTCAGACCAGGGCGCCGGCATCGTATGATTGCACTGTTGAACCCAATTCTGATGCTGTTGACGAGAAGCTGGGATTCAAAGGGGCCGACACCCGTAGTCTACGAGCTTGGGTATAGTTGTGCGCTTAATACGATAATACTAGTATGAAACGTTTTTATTGGTCGTTTTGGTTTTACTCACGAAAATCAGTAAGAAAATATTGATATTATGAATGTCGACTACTTTTTTTTAATTAGAGTTTGTTCCTGAAATATGATTAAAGTATTTATAGTATCCGCATTAAAAAAATGTAAAACTGATATTCTTGGTTCCGGTAATGCCAACTAGAGTTGAAGGCAAGCAATTTGTTTCGTGCGTCGCATCAAGAGATTTCAGCTTACCGGTTCATGACGCTAACGTATTAAAATGGCTGCGAAAAACCCGTTAATGGTTAACAAATCTGTTTCGTGTAAAAATATGCCTCTTCTTCGGTGTCTGAGTCAACGTCATCCTTCACCTTCGCTTTAATTTGAGGCGTGGAACATACCAGCGACGATCATTTCCAGTTTCGCTGGTAATCCGGCACACCGTGGTCCTCAGCTGTTCGTTCTTGACGGTGCCGACAACTCGTAGAAATGGCAGCAATTCTCGGTATGCTCCGAGTGCTCACGACCGTTGCTGCTCTTTTTGTGGGTCTGTCACCGCTTCCGGACTTTTATCGTATCCACAAGACTAAGACAACGGGTGAGGTGTCGATTCTACCGATCACTCTGCTATTCTGCAACAGCTTCATGTGGGCCATCTACGCTTGCTGGACCAACAACATTTTCCCCGTCTTGGTTTGCAACCTGTACGGCATGACCACGTCCGTCGTCTTCAGCTCCATTTACTACCGTTGGAGCACTGATCGCGCTTCCATTCACAAGATCTGGAGCCGTGCGGCATGTGTTTTGGCAGCGGGTACGTTCTACCTGGTCCTCGGGAGCTCTGGAGTCACCAGCCAGACACACGACCAGGTGGCCTCATCTTTCGGCTTCATCGCTGTGAGCATCAACATCGCGTTGTATGCGTCACCACTAGCGGGAATGAAAAAGGTGATCGAGACCAAGGACGCGTCTTCGTTGCCAATCACCATCAGTGCCGTCTTCCTGGGGAATGCAGCGCTGTGGGTGATCTACGCTCTCACCGTAGGTGACATGTTCGTCATGGTACCCAACCTGCTCGGTATGATCCTTTGTGCTGCTCAAGTGGCGCTCTACATCAAGTATCGTCCCAAAAGTGGCGAGACTACGGATGAAGGTATCAGCTTTACCAAGAGCAAGCTGTCAGAGGGACCTCAAGGACTTTGGGATCACTTGGTTCGCTGGTTCGAGAACCCGCTGGGTTACGAGCTGCTTAGGGCTCCGGTCGTCCCCCTTCCAAGATAATTAGTGATGAAATTACAGGCGAGATAGCGTATGCAATTTATCTAAAAGAGGAGGGTGAATATGAAAACTACCAAGCATAACAAACTCGTGTTATTAGTGTACTTATTTGAATCTCTCGAGTTGCAAACACATGTACTCTTTCATTCCTTCAACCACGCTGAATTGGATCGCAGAAGGATGAGATGGTACATGATAACGGGTGGCGGGAAGATAACCTTCGTTGTTATAGTAGAGATAGCGATTAAAAACTGTGCAGGATAAGTACATGTTCGCCACGTTGTCAGCACCGCACAACTGTCCGAACTCTCTCCTGGGCCGCGATGATCCACATTGGCGTGCTAGTTTCCGTCTATCGACTGAACTGCACCCAGTCCTTCCGTTGCAAGCAAACGGTATATGCGTGCGCCATCGCATTAATCGTGGAGTCGAGATGGTTATCGACGCTCCGTTCCCCGTTCAGCGAGCGACTTGAAGCGCTCGGAGCAAAAACAGAGCAGAGTTGAAGACGACATCCATCTCTTCGACCGAAACGATGCTCCAAGCGGTACGCGTTTCCCGAGAGGAGCTGAAGCAGAATCCAGCGTAACCGAGCGACGATCAAATGAATGGCGGGCACACCAAAGAGTGCGAGACCTTCACAACTCGAGACTTCGAAGGGTTTTTAGCAGAAGCTCAGTTGCAAACTTGCCTGCTTCCACGTGCGCTGGGACCATGTCAACGTTCGTTCTTGTGCTTCGCGTACTCACCACGGCCACTGCCATTCTGGTGAGTTTTGCCCCGCTTCCCGATTTCTGGCGGATCCACAAGAACCGCTGCACCGGCGAGGTCTCGATCCTTCCAGTCGTTTTGCTCTTCGCAAACTGCTACATGTGGGTCCTGTACGCTTACCTGGTGGACAACATTTTCCCGCTCTTTGCCGTGACGCTCCTTGGTATCACTACATCGATCGTCTTCATCTGCATCTACTACCGCTGGACTAAGAACCGCCTGTACGTCGTCAAGGTCTGCAGTATCGCTTTAGTGTTGCTGGCTATTGGAACGCTTTACTACATCCTCGCAACGAATGGGGTCACGAACCAGTCGGAGGCCGCCGTCGAAAAGACCCTTGGCTTCATCGCCGTCGCGTTCAACCTGGTGCTGTATGCGTCGCCATTGGAAACGATGAAAACGGTCGTGCAGACTAAGAACGCGTCGTCTGTACCCATTTCCATCAGCTCCACATTCCTCGTGAATGCTGTGCTGTGGGTTATCTTCGCTGTGGCCGTGAGTGACATGTTCGTATTGGTGCCAAACGCCATCGGGACCTTCCTGTGCGCCATCCAAGTCATGCTCTACATCATCTATCGTCCAGAACGCACTGACGCATTGAAACATGGCGAGAGCTTCGCTGATGCTATTAAAGATATCCAGGCCGACAACGCGAACGAACAGGATGGCATCGCCATCCACGTGGACAAAAGTCTCGAGTACGAGGGATTAAGCTCACCCATACCGACAGCCGTGCTTCCGAAGCGAATAGCTTAGGTAGTATTTTAGATCGGGATTGATTGCAAGAAAAAACTTTAGCGAAAAATGACAAGGGAATACTTGTACAGTCGAGCAAAGTGTTGCTTTCGTGTCGACCGTGTGTTGTCGCCTGGTGCTGCACTAGTCGTCAGAGTTGAGTGGACGCTGTTGGAAAACTGCAACCACGGCAGAAACTTCGACAACAAGCGAAGTGAGCAAGCTGCTGCGCTCGATCGACGTCTTGAAGGTGCTTGGCAAAAAATTATTCTGGATCTCAAGTGCTTCATTTCTTCCGTTACACTGGGGGGAAAAATTATGCCGTCGCATGACCATTTTAATGGTCATGCTTCGTTCTTGAAATAGTTCTTTTTTGGACTATACCAGTTGCAGTTCATTTAGAAGTGAAGTGCAACAGCTCTTACGGTAAATACAGCACGCAGCAAGAAGTAAGAAGCACTTGCTGTCTGTATGTTGTTGCACCCGCCCGTCTTTGTTAAACAAAAGTTATGGCTCAACTTCGACGCCAAGCGCATCGAAATTGGCCGTCTTACGGCGCTAGATTTGCTCACTTTCGATCTTACCTCTCCGCGCCACAAGCTACAGACATTCAATATCAGTAATGACGATCCTGCTCGAGTCTTTGCGTGTACTCACCACTTGTTCGTCCGTGATGCTCAACGTGTCGCCGTGGCCAGAGTTCGCGCGCATCAACCGTCAACGTACACCCGGTCCGCTGACGGTGCTGCCCGTCGTCATGCTTTTCTGCAACTCGTTCCTGTGGACCATGTACGGCTTCATGGTGGGGCAGCTCTTCCCTCTTTTCGCCACCTGCTCCATGGGTCAGTGCACATGCGCGGGTTTCATCGCCATCTATTACCGTTGGAGTCCGGATCGGCCGGCGGTGCGTCGTCTCATTGCCAAGGCGGGCTCCGTTATGGCACTCTGTATGGCCTACGTGATCCTCGGCGCGCACGGGTTCACTAACCAGTCTCGCGAACAGGTGATCGGTACGCTTGGCCTCATGTGTATCTCCGTCAACATTTGCCTGTACGCGTCGCCGCTGGACACCATGAAGCGCGTGGTGCAGACCAAGTCGGCTGCGTCGCTGCCCATTTCGCTGTGTACCGTCAATCTGATCAATGGCCTGCTCTGGGTGGCCTTCGGTATCACCGAGGGCGACTACTTCGTGCTCACACCGAATGCGATTGGCTCTGTGCTCAGTGCCGCGCAGGTTGCGCTTTACTTCACTTATTGCGACACGGACGAGTCTCGCCGGGAGGAGGAGACGATTCTGGCTGCTGCTGCCGAACTGGAAGCTGCGAGCAAAGCCAGCAGCGTGAAAACGACAAGCTCCTACGGCAGTCTGACTAAGATCCCGTCGACAACGTCCTTCGTCCCGCACACCTGCCACTCGGTTGTCGACGTGCATACAGAACGTGAGAGGGAACCGATTCTGGTGGTGGCTGCAGTTAATTAGGTAGTACATGGGATAAAACACTTATAAACGAATGCTTGTTGTTCGTTAGAGGGTAAAAACAAATATCTTCTCTGTTTCTCGACCTTACTTGTGCACGCACACGCTTGAATCCGAGTCCCAAGTACACGACAGGAACATGGCCTTGCAGAAGAATTTGCTGTGGAACTTGCTGCAGAACGTACCATCAGAGGAAGTGGGCGCCGGTGTCGGTGTAGGAGTAACAACAGGCTGATCGGTAGGCACAGTAGTCGTCGCTGCCGGGGTAGTTGCCGGAGCGTCCGTGTCAGGCAACGACGTCACCGGGCAAGGCGTAGTAGCCGACGGGGTCGAAGTCGGAGCGTCCGTGTCTGGCAACGACGTCACCG